AGTTGCTTAGAGCACAGCTAAGTTAAAAGTTACTTAGAAGTTATAACACAAAGAAACTGTGTAGCAACCGCAATCAGATGCTGACATCTGAAACTAAGTTGCGAAATACATTGCACTTTAAAACAATTAATGACATTTTTATTGTTCGTACAGTACTAACTACTGTTGACAGCAATTGCCATAATTATAAGTCGATGTCCTGCGAAGTATTGATACATCAAAAAAATATTGCCAGAAAAAAAAACTTAATGTTGTTTTCTTTATTATGATTATATAAAAAAACACAAACTTTGTTTGTAGTTAATTTAGCGCGAAATCTAGGGCTTTTTTAAAGCGCTGTTTTCATGAAATCTAGCGCTTTTTGTGTTGTCCTAGAGCTGAATTAGTTTTATTTATCTGGCAGCACTGCCCAAAAACCCTCTATTAAGAAGTAACTTTCCTTTCAGTTTGAAGCGCGTTCAGTTCCCAGTTACAGTGAGCGTGTGTTATGCGATGACCGTAAATAAAGCGCAAGGTCAAACTTTACGCGTTGTAGGAGTGTACCTCAGTACTGACTGTTTTGCACATGGCCAACTTTATGCTGCTTTTTCCCGCGTTAGTAGCCCCCGTAACCTTTTAGTGTACACCCCGGCTAAGCCTACTTCTCACGTCGTTTACACAGAAGCTCTATCATAAACGACTTAGAACTTTGATGATAATGATTTATTTAGTTACCACTTATTGATACAGTAATGAAATAAATCGTTTAATATTCTCTTACCTAAACGACAAATTCTTTATGTAAAACCTGTATACGCGAGCTACGCCGCGGGCACAGCTAGTCAACAATATAAATAAAGGTGTGTGTAATAACTCAGAAGCACATTTCATCATTTCTGGTGAAGGGCTTTTCAAAACCAATCCAAAGAATATGTACTACCTGCATCATCAACCCTTATCTAGAATGAATGATTTAGTTACTGAGACTGAGGCAGAAAAGAGTATCGAACCTCCACCATATTCCCCACTTACGCCACGCCCGCTTGTTACTAATAGTATAAAGGATATCACACTGTAAGAAAAGTTTCTAAATAATGTTACAAATTCCGCTACTCCTACATTATTGCTTGGTCAGGAAAACTCGCGTCATGATGATTTCACTAAAAAATCGGTTCGCCGATCCCTCCTATGTCACCAGAGATAGCAAAGATCTAGGACTTTTTAAGAGACTCCATGGGAATAGACAGCGTCGTAAAACGTACGATACCTGGTGAGAATATTTCTCCATTATATAACGACAATTTCGTGAAGGATCCTGATTATTTCATTATTTTTTATTTTATTTTAACAACACTTCTAGCATTTTTCCTATAAACACATATTAACATTCCATCGTACTTCTTGACACGGACGTACATGAAACAGAGACAATTATTTTAAATATGAAAACTGATTGTAGCGTAAGTTGAGATAATATTTCCACTTTCCTTCTAAAAAGGTACAGAAATTTACTAGTCCCTCCCATTACATATATATGTAACCTTTCTTTTAAAACTGATAAATTCCCCAACTGTTTTAAACTGGCTAAAATTCACCCTATTTACAAGAGCGGTGATGCGGGCTGTGTCAATAACTATAGATACATTTCCATTCTTCCCACTGTGTCAAAAATACTAGAAAAAGTAATCAACAAGCGCTTGACTAATCACTTAGAGAAACATAATCTGTTGTCACATTGCCAATATGGATTTCGACCAAAACGTTCTACATAGGATGCAATTCATGAACTAACTGATTTCATTGATACAAAACTTGACCGAAAAAAAAATAGTATTTATATTTCTTGATCTAGCCAAAGTATTTGACATCGTCTACGTTCCACTTTTGTCGAATAGGCTAGAAGGTCTTGGACTAAGAAATACACAGATGAAATTGTTCTCTGATTATTTAACGGGTCGATATCAGAGGGTAAGGATTGGTGGTTGCTGCAGTGATGACCTTCCCATATCATATTGTGTACCACAGTGTAGTTTACTTAGTCCCACGCTATTTCTTACATATATTAATTCCCTATGTAATGTAAAAATTCACAATGGGAGGATCATTGCCTTTGCGGATGAAACGGCTCTTCTTTTCCAGGCAGATACATGGTCTGAGGTATTTAACCTCGCACAAAATGGGTTTAATTTAATAAATAAATAGCAAAAAAATATAAACTTACAATAAATGTCGATAAAACAAAATACATAGCATTTACTAACAAAATCATCAATGTACCTGAATTAGAATACTTCCACATTACAGCTCACTGTTGCTCCCAAATTGATAGCTCTTGCTCCTGTCCTACCCTCTCCAGAACGGATTGCATAAAATATCTCGGCGTAGTGATAGATAACACTCTTATCTTTCACCTTTATATTGGCCTCTTAAGTACAAGGATACGTAAGTTAATTTACGTTTTTAAAAATCTACGTACTTAATGTAATGAAAAGGTATATTTTGAACTGTGCCAATCATTGTGGACATATTGTATTACCACTTGGGGAGGGGCACCTAAAACAATCATATTGCAATTAGAAAGAGCCCAGAGGGTGGTATTAGAAGTTAGCAATTCTCTACCATTCCTTTTTCCTACAACTGCCTTTTATCAACAGTGTAGTGTCTTATCTGTTCACAAATTGTTCATATTGCACACTGCGCTATTACAACATTCTATGATACAGTATGAGTCCTCCAATAATGACAAAAGAAGGAAATATTATATAGATTGTCCCAGTAAATGTCTATTTACCCAATTTTCACATAGATTTTTGTGCTTCCTGGTAGGTTACCTTCATAATAAATTGAATAAACGTTTTTCAATTTACTCTCTACCAAAACATGCATGTAAACAAAAATTACAGAAGTGGTTGCTAAATATCGATTATAACGCTGCTAAAAATTTACTAACAGTATTATCCTAAAAACACATAACCTAATACAAACACACACACACACACACTATTATACATACCGAAATAACTTTAAAAAAACCATATAGAATCATTCCTTGTAGTACATACATATATAATTGAAAATGTGAATATGTGCAATTCGTTAGGGTGAGGGCCTGGTAATCTACAACACAGGGTGGTGACGCGTGGTTCAAAATTGGAATAAAGTGGACTGTAATAGGTAGTTGGAATTGGATTTCGTTGAAATTTGCAACCGACACATAAAACTGAAGGTGAACCTGGAGAACGCCGTCAGCTTCTTTTCTTACTTGAGGTTGACACTCGCGTGGTACACTCCTAGTTTTCTTGCGCGATTTACACTTATTTTATACAATTCACGGCCGTGATTTTAGGCGTATAATAATTAAACAGATATGCGAGTCGCGAGCGTGACACAATATGCTTCCGCGTGCGGGCGTGTTCTTACTTAGACTTCTCCCTCTACCCGATTGTCGGTCGCAAGAAGGAATTAGTGGAATAAATGAAGGTATTATAGAGGAAATCTGATTCGTCGATAAGATTGACCAAAACGCGGAATATTTTAATTTGAGAAATGGCGGTAACATTTCCCCCGCCCTTAAAGGGTCGCCTTTAAAAGAAAATAATAATAAGATGCGATAAATACAATTAATACTTACTAAAACTAAGCGAATACAAATATATATATATATATATATATATATATATATATATATATATATATATATATATATATAATATTATATTACATAGATGTAAAGATGTAAGATGTGAGCGATGTAGAGTTTATTATTGTGTAGGTAACGGACACAAGCGCACCACTGGTCGCACGAGTGTACCCCTTGCCGTTTTTACTGTAGCGACACGAACTATACCGTCCTTAGACGGGTGAACCTTTACGATCACTCCCAAAGGCCAGGAGAGGGTCGGTGAGTTATCATTTATAATTATGACAACTGTGCCCACCTTTACGGGGACCGAGCATTGAGTCCATTTACGCCGCGCCTGCAGTTGATGCAGATATTCGGTTCTCCAACGACGCCAAAAGGATTGGACTAATTTATCTAAGAGTGTATGTCGTTGAAGTAAATAAATTGGCGAAGATTCCACATCAGGTGCAGGTAGAGAGCGCAATGGTAACGTATTCAAAAAGTGTGCGGGTGTTAAAGCCGTCGGTTCAGCTGGATCGGAGCTAAGCACACTGAGAGGACGAGAGTTTAGTAAACATTCTATTTGAGCGAGGATTGTGATTAACTCCTCATACGCAAGGATCTGCTGTCCAATAACCTTAAAAAGATGGTTCTTTACACATTTCACCATACTCTCCCAACAACCACCGAAATGTGGGGCGGCAGGCGCTATGAACTTGAATTCAATGCGACTTTCGGCCAATTCTTCTTCTAAACGCGGGCGGTATTCCTTTGTGACAAAATTATATAAATCTCGTAGATAAGATCGAGTGCCTATAAAATTTGTTCCACGATCAGAGTAAAGACATTTCACGGGACCCCGTCGCGATAGGAAGCGCTTTAAAGCTGCGATAAAACTCACAGTGGAAAGATCCGTGGCTACTTCGATGTGGAGTGCGCGCGTAGTAAGACAAGTAAATATGCATAGGTAAGCCTTGCGAGTTTTAACACCTCGAGCTCGTATGGGCGTATACAATATAGGGCCGCAATAATCACAGCCAGTATAAGCGAAAGCTTTCTCCGCTTGCGTGACTCTATGTCCCGGCAGAGCAGACATTAAAGGACAAGGAAGACATTAACACTTATTAATTCTAGACCGAATAATTCGTCTAGCGGACAAGATCCAAAATCGTTGTCTTAACAAAGACATGAGCATGGGCCGGCATGTAAATATTTCTTGTGATAGTAGTCGATCAAAGACTCTACAAGAGCGTCATGACGCGGTAAAATAATCGGAAATTTGTATTCTGAACTTTCAGCGGAGTTGGTAAGGCGGCCACCAACGTGGATGAGGCCATCGCATAAAAATGGCTTAAGCTTCATTAGCGCGGGCGAGCAATTACTACCGGCTCCCAGCTGTCTAATGTCGAATGCAAAATTTTTTTTTTTGAATATCGCCTATTATCATATGCTCTGCGGCGCTTATATCAAACGCGGTAACTGCTATCGAACCGGAACGGGGTAGTTTATTTATAAATCTGCAGACATAAACAAGGATACGCGTGAGTCTACTCCAGGAGGAGATGCGTTTATTAAGATCTTGAACTAAGGACGTTTCTGGTTCTGACGTAGTAATGGGGTGTGCGGTTATTTTCTCTTCCGGTACGTTGTCTAGCGCTATAGTATTATGGTCTGCATTAGTGATAGGCCACAGTGAGAGGTCTTGCGCGAGCCAGGACGGACGTTGTGACCATAATGGATGAGATATTAGCCTTTCGGGTGTAAGACCTCTCGATAAACAATCAGGTGGATTATCTATTCCCGCAACGTGATGAAAATTAGTGGCCGGTAAATTGTCAATAATCTTGACGACGCGGTTAGCGACAAAAGTTTGCCAGCGGTGCGGAGAAGAGTTTATCCAACAAAGTGTGACCATTGAGTCTGTGAACGCGTACATATCACTAATATGATAGCGTGAATCGTAGGTGTCATGCACGCGTTTAATTAGTCTTGCCAGTAATTCGGCAGCGCAGAGTTCGAGACGTGCAATAGACAAAGGCTTCATTGGTGAGACCTTTGACTTGGCGCAGACGAGTCGCGTCGTAACCTGGCTTGCTTGAGTAATATGGGCGTATACCACTGCTCCATAAGCACGCTGACTAGCATCAGAAAAGCCGACCAGTCGTACAACGCAATGTTCGAAGACCCCCAAATGTCGCGGCATTTTGACGTCATTGAGTAGCGGTAACTCTACACAAAACCTTTTCCAGGTTTCGACTATTTGCTGGGGCGGACAATCGTCCCAATCAAGTTTCAATAGCCACAAATCCTTTATGAGAAGTTTAGCGAAGAGAACAACAGGCGCTACGAAGCCCATTATGTCCCAAATTCTAGCTACAGTGGCTAAAATGATTCGCTTTGAACACCTTTCGTCAAGCTTGGTTACTTTAAATTCAAAACAATCGCGAAATTTATCCCAACTCAAGCCCAAAATTTTAAATTGAGCGGTTTTATCAAATTCAAGAGGTTCAGACATCTTATATGACGAAGGCAGAGCGCTTAAGACCGAGTCGGAATTACATGTCCATTTTACTAAATCGAACTGCGCACGTTTAAATAACTCAATCAGCTCATTAGCAGCTGATGCAGCTTCCTCCTCCGACATAACACTAAAAACGATATCGTCCATATAGATATAGCGAGAAGCAATTATCTTTGCTAACCGAAATGAATCTCCATCATCCGCAATGAGTTGCTGAATGACACGGAGCGCGTGATATGGGCTGGACCTAAGTCCAAAACAAACCCTATTAAATTCATACTCGGTAAGTTCTTCTTGCGGGTGAAAACGATATAACATGCGTTGAAAGCGACGATCGCGCTTATTCATTATAATTTGAAGGAACATCTGTTTACAATCAGCGGAAAGCGCGGTAGCGAAAAGACGAAAATTTAAAATAATTGCAAACAGATCACCTTGTAAATTGTGACCACTATGGAGAATATCGTTCAGTGAGCGGCCTGAACTCGATTTATGACTCTCGTCGAGAACCATGCGAAGTTTAGTAGTGGTCTTATCTGTACGCAAAACACCGTGGTGTGGTATGACGTAAACGGGATAGCAGTTATCACTGTCAACAAGCGGCGCGGGTGACAGATAGCCCTTTTCTAAATATTCGTGGATAACTGAGTCATACGCGGCCTTAAACTCAGGAGCGGCTTCAAACTTCCTCTCCAACATCAGAAAACGTTTCCGAGTGGTTTCATAAGTATCACCAAGCGAAAATATATCATCTCGGAAAGGCAACGATACTATGTATCTGCCCGTTTCTTTGTCACGTTCAGTGGCTTCGCGAAAGAAATGCTCACACTCTATCTCAGCCGGGGACTGAGTGGGCGGAGTTCTCAAAGGAGATTCATCTATTTGACAAAACCGTTTTACCAACGTATCTAGCGGGTCTTTCTCGGCGTGTGCGGGTAATGTACTACAACACGTCAAGGTTACGTTTTCGCGAGCGGGAAGTGCGGGCACAGTGCCCATAATTACGTAACCAAGCGTTGTTTGTATAGCTAGCGGTACAGCAGAGTTATCCCTTACTATACCGGGCAATAAAAGTTGCGAAAATAAAGAAGCACTGATCAGAACATCGATCTGTGATGGCTCAAAGAATTTTTCATCGGCCAACGGCAAATCTTGTAAGAACGGCATAGCGGATGCGTTGACAGGCATAGACGGTAAGTCATCTGTTATTCTATCGACGACGAGCGACGAAATATTATATCTTATGTTAGGGTTAAAACGAGAAGTGAACTGGAATGCTACAACTCCCTTTGCGTATTTTTCTGAACCCCCTATACCCTTTACCTTTATGTTGTCTTTATTTACTAATAAACCTAATCTATCACAACATTCCGACGTTATAAAATTGCTCTGTGATGCACTATCTAATAAGCAACGCACACTACGGCTCGTGCCATACGCGTCGGGTACCATAACCGCTGCAGTGGATAGCAGAACCGTAGTGTATACATTGCGTGTAAATAAATCTTCGGATACGCAAGATTGCGTTGATAGCGGTGCGGCAATGGACGTTGTGCACAACGAAACGCTCTTGCTACGCGCATCGGGCGACGACGCGGGAGCAGCTGTTGTCGGTACGATCGCGCGCGTTGTACCCGATGACTCGGCGGCGGTGGTCACAACGCGAGCGTTAGCAGGTTTGAAAGCGTCAAAGTGAAGTAAACTATGATGTTTGCCTTTGCAAATTTTACATTTAGAGTTAGAGTTACAAGTCCCTGCCTTATGTATAACACTCAAACAATTTACGCAAGCGTGTCGTTCCTTAGCATATTTATAACGGTCGTTCGCTGTCATTTTACAAAACGCCGGACACTTGTATAAATGATCATGCACAATATCCCTGCACAAACATTTGTATGTATAGGCCATAGCGACATAAGATTGCGGTTGTGGAACCTTTGCGGTGGGTCGGTGATTCGGGTTCGAATTCGAGGTCAAACTCGAATGATAAGAGCGCTGTAATATATTAACTTGTTCCTTTACATAGTCGGTTAAACTTTTAAAATTAGGAATTTTATCCTTTCGAGAATGCATTTCAAAAGAAAGAACTGTTTCGGGGTCCAACTTTTTTAAGGCGGTATGTAATAAAATAAAATCAGTCAGGTCAGGTATTTGTAAGTTTTTTAATGCGCTAACCACGGTTACGAACGTATGTAAAAATAATTCTAGGTTTCGAGCAGAAGAGTGAGAAACTGGTTTAAAGTCAAAAATTTGATTGATATAGGTCGATGCTAGCATGCGTTTATCATCGTACTTCTCTATAAGCGCGTTCAAAATAAGTTCATAATTCTCAGCACAAGGAGTAATACCGGCGAACACAGAATGCGTTTTGATTGTTAATTTACCTAGCAGGTAATACAATTTATCGGCGTCTGATAGGGACTGGTTATCATGCACAGTGGATTTAAAACTTGCATAAAATAAAGACCATGAGCGGATATCACCATCAAACGACGCTAGCTCTATAGGCGGTAAAGACGGTCGCGATATTGTGGCCGATCTCGGACATTCATTTGTTATTCGACTTGTAAGACGAGACATTACACGTTTTATATGACAGTATAGTTCCTCGAACGCAACCCATGACTGATATTCCACCTTTGCTTCTGGGTAGACTTGCATATTATATAGATTATAATCGGTTAATACCCTTTCGAAATCACTTCGTAATGCATCAATCGAAATCGCTCCAGAAAGGAACTCTTCCCTGTCCACCTCACTATCTACTTGTTGAGAGCGATCATAAATTGTTTGTAAGCGGTTAAATAAAGAATCGCGCCTAGCTATAGCTATATTCAATAACATCATTAATTTGGGGTCTGGCGTTTCGGTCCTAGATTCATTAGTTTTTGACGCGCTAGTTTTTGACATTTTTATAATAAATATATATAGGAAATATTAAGGTTATAAGTAAAGTTTTAATTTTAACTGGCGAGCGATGGACAAATACACTAATAATTAAAGCGTCTTAAACACTTAATCTATCGCGGAAATATCAGGTAGATTTATTAACTGATCTAAATTTCTTCGTGAGCGAGCGGGTATGTAGACATTGTATTATGTATTGCGGTAAGTTATATAATAGCGATAAATATACGGCTTTAAATCAATGTAATAAATATATAATGCGTGTATATATGCGAGAAATTAAGTAAAATATTATATTTAAATGTTTCTAAGCATATATATATGGTTTTAATTATGCCTATTCTGCATTTGAATATTCCAACGAAGTGGCAAAAATGGTAATCGAATTGGAAAGGTTTTAATCCGGGCGAAGTGACCAAAATGGTGACGCGAGGTTCAAAATTGGAATAAAGTGGACTGTAATAGGTAGTTGGAATTGGATTTCGTTGAAATTTGCAACCGACACATAAAACTGAAGGTGAACCTGGAGAACGCCGTCAGCTTCTTTTCTTACTTGAGGTTGACACTCGCGTGGTACACTCCTAGTTTTCTTGCGCGATTTACACTTATTTTATACAATTCACGGCCGTGATTTTAGGCGTATAATAATTAAACAGATATGCGAGTCGCGAGCGTGACACAATATGCTTCCGCGTGCGGGCGTGTTCTTACTTAGACTTCTCCTTCTACCCGATTGTCGGTCGCAAGAAGGAATTAGTGGAATAAATGAAGGTATTATAGAGGAAATCTGATTCGTCGATAAGATTGACCAAAACGCGGAATATTTTAATTTGAGAAATGGCGGTAACACAGGGATTACCCTAGTATGGACACCAGTCTCTCACAAAGGTCACAAATTGTTTGCAACCGTATTATTTACCTAAGTAATCATGTGAAATTTTATACCTTTGTAAAGAATAAATAAAAAATGATTTATTATTATTATGCTGATAATAATAATAATAAATCATTTTTTTATTTCCTCTTGACCTATCTAGTTCACGTGACGATTCCTCAAATGGTTCAGTATCTTTGATCACTGGGACTACACATGCTGAAATAAACGAAAAACCCAAAGAAAATAATATTAAGGCGAAACATGTAGATCGAGAAACGTTTTTTGATAGCTGTAATACTGACGCAAAGAGCAGTAAAATTTCACATATATCTGTCAATGTTAATTCTGTTGGTGATGAAAATATAATTGCAACAGGATCCGAATTAGACACATTTGACTGAAAATAGAGAAAAAGAAACAAGTAAACCAAAGAAAGGAAGAATAAGACGTTATGGTGGACTTTCAAGGGAAAAAAGGAAAAACGAAAATACTGTAACTTGTCGTACGCAAATTCGAAAAAAGAGTTAGTTAAACTTAAAAATTTTGTTGTTTTTTTATAGGAGAGGGGCAAACGAGCATAAGGCTCACCTGCAATGATGGTAAGTGACTACCGCAGCCCTTGAAAAACTGCAACAGCAAGGGAATTGCAGGTGCGTTGCGGGCATTTTAAAAAGGAGTAAGCTCTTTTCTTGAAGGTCCTGAAGTTGTATCGGTCCGGAAAAATCAGCGGTGATAATCGATTCCACAGAGATGTAGTACGTGGGAAAAACTCCAAGTGAAAATTACAGTGCTGGACCGCCAAGCAATCAGGTAGTGTGGATCGTATCGGTAGTTTTGCCGTGATGTGCGTTCGTGAAATTTGGTGGCTGGGAGTAATCCGAACAATTCCTCAGAGTATTCCCCGTGGTAGATGCCATAAAATATGCAAAAAGTTGCAACATCTCTTCGCAGCATCAGTAAATCAAGCCGATCGGTAAGGACTCGGTCATCAATAATTCGAGCCGCTCTGCGCTGGAAGCGGTCAAGTGTAAGGAACTGGCACTGGGGAGCCCCAGCTCAGAGATGGGAACATTATTCCATGCGAGGCCGAATCTGCGCCTTGTAAAGTTGTAGGCGGTGTGCCGACATGAAATACTGCCCCGCTCTTCTGAGCTCGCCAAGCTTTTTAGAGACCAATTTGGCCTTCTCTTCCAGTGACCACGAAACTGCACGTCACTCGATATGTCGACGCCGAGGATTCCGATACTGGCTGAGACAACAAGGGGAGTACCTTGAAACTGAGGAGATACGACAAAGGGGTTCTTTTTAGCGGTAAAAGCGCAAACTTGTGTCTTCTGAGGATTAAACTGAACTAGATTTGGTTGTTCCCAATCCGATACTTTGTTCAGCAAAGTTTGTTCCGGTACTCGGCGACGTATTCCCGAGAAATATTGGCACGGCCGATGTATAGAGCATCACCAGTACTGCCCTCCGTATAGCAAGGAATGTTACCGCTTCACAGCATATCATTGATATACAGAAGAAACTTAACAGAAAGAAGATATATTATAGAGGGTACACACTAGGAGGTGTATCCGTTTGCAGGGACATGTTCGTCAAGACTTTCCAAACTTCAACGAAGATAATAAATACATCTCTTCAAAAATGCGTTCTACAAACGAAATAACGCTGGGTAATAATGCTGGACACAATAAATCCTTTCCTGAAAGTGTACAATTTGTGATTAAATTTCATATAAAATTTGCCAACTTACATTTTTCATTACGGATGTGAGAAATGCAAAGGAAATAAGTACTTTAGACCAGATATGAAATTTTTCTAAATATACGATCTTTACTGCGTACAAGCAGAAAGTTAGGTGTTAAAATACATTCTCGTTCGAAAGTAAGCCGTTTTTTTTTCACAAAATTTAATTTGCGTACTGCTGCCTTGAAAAAAGATACCTGTACATTGAATTAAACTAATTTATACAGATTTTATCGCGTTTAATTTACTATTTTAATTCCCGACGTTGCGGGTGCTTTACAGCAACCCATGGTCACGGGGGTGGACTGAGATGTTTCACGTCCCGATGTCACAGTTAACCCGGCTGCCTTGTCACTAGGATTACACATAAACACCGAAATAAAACTCTAAAATAAATGCGAGTACAATTGCCAACGTCTCTACGTGCTCCGAGGCACGGAGGTAAAACACCGCCAATTTTGTGTCTACGGGTTCCTATTGAGCATTTATTGAAAAAATAATACTAGCTGTGCGCCCCGGCTATGCACGGTTAATTTCTGCATTTCAATATATATATATATATATATATGTGTGTGTGTGTGTGTGTGTGTGTGTGTGTGTGTATATATCTATTCAATAAAAGAGAAGCATCACAATCGGTCCACAATTGACAAACATATCACATACATAAAAACATTGAGTCGAATTGTAAACCAATTCCTTTTTTGAAGTCTAATAAAAATGACTAAAATTTCACACAAACGCCGAAATAAAACTTTAAAACCAATGCGAGTACAATTATATCACAGGTATTACGCAATACGATTAACCTCTATCACAGCTTTATATAACTAAAATGAAAAAATACGATAGCTGTTCTCTCAAATATATATTTTTATTCCGACATAAAAACAAAGCGGAACATTTATTTTAACAATGATCATGTTTCCCGTTTTTCTGTACGAATTGGATTTTTTTCTGTACGGATTGGATGATGTTATATTCAATTGAAAAGAATGTGTGCGCTTTCATTGTACGTAACAAACCCGGCACAACACGGCACCAACACTAAATTTAAATGGCGAATGCTTCAGCATGTTTTAATTCCATTCGAGAATAATCCAAATTATCCGTATTATTAATTGTCTTAAAGAAAAATCAATCCGCATAATATAAGATGTACGGTCTGCTAACTTACGTGGTAGAGCCATATCGCGGCTGTAGCGCGCGCTCCACCTGATGGTAAGTGGGTGGCCCACAGACTCTAATTCTCCCTCATTTATTCTCGATTAAGTATCGAAATGAAGATACGATGTTACCTATGGACTAAAATTAAATGCGTCGCATCCAGTAAAAAGAGTCTCCAGTTCTCTACAGTTTTCATGCAATACACAGCAGCATAAAGCTGTTATTTTACGCTGGTATTCTGTGAGAGTGTGTGGCTTTCCCGGTCAAGCCAAGCCATTCGTACTATAACCACAATATAGCTGCATTATGGCTCTACCACGTAGAAAATCTAGCATGCCAGGAATGTAGATATCATATCGCACTGTCATCGCTTCAGACGACCAGTCGCGGTTCACACAGTACCTAGTACTAGGATTTCCTCTCATCATGACAGCGTGTCAAAAGTCGAGAGCTTGATGTTGGTTCGTCTTAGTTGTTGTGTACATATAGTATGTGATAGGATTCCTCTGCGATGTGTGCGCACCCCCAATTGTTCTGGTGATTCCGTCTTCCGGGAGGCCAGTCAACCGATTCGCTACCGCTGATTTATCATTATTTAACATTTGGGCTCCCCAGTGCCAGCTCCTTCCACTTGACCGCATCCAGCGCAGAGCGTATCGAATCGTCGACGACCGAGCCCTTTCCGATCGGCTCGATTCATTGGCACTGCGAAGAGATGTTGCATCCCTTTGCATTTTCTTTCGCATCTACCATGGGGAGTGCTCTGAGGAATTGTTCGGATTAATCCCAGCCGCCAAATTTCACGAACGCACATCGCGGCAGAACTCTCGATACCGTCAACCACACGTCAAACACACCATATAGATGATTGGCAGTCCACCACTGAGCGATTTAGAAGATGTTTTCTTCCTCGCACGACTATCTTGTGGAATCGATTACCATCAGCGATTTTTCCGGACCGATACAACTTAGGGACCTTCAAGAAAAGAGCGTACTCCTTTTTAAAAGGCCGGCAACGCATCTGCAATTCCCTCCCTGGTGTTGCAGTTGTTCATGGGCGGCGGTAGTCACTTACCATCAGGTGAGCCGCATGCTCGTTTGCCCCCTCTCCTATAAAAAAAAGAAAAAAAAGACACTATTACACTTCACTTTTGAATTTTTACTCGAAGGAAAATATAATATGTATGCCATAAAATGTATGCTTTGCACGGTC